TCGATCGCTCGTGTGTTTACTTAACCCACGCGGAAGGAACTAATCAAGCATGAAATTCCCTTGGCAACGAAACAATTGAGCCAATCACATAACAGCTGAATGCATCAGAATATATCTTTGTCTCGTCGCACTTTCGAATTTTGAAAAGCGCGCAGGATAATACGCTGTTTTAACAGTCTTTTGAGAGGATTATCGGGCTTTTTGCGACTTTGAGTTTTCAAGATCACAACTAATTAATATTCATGACAAATTGGGACCAGAGAAAAAAGTCCGGATAATCGAGATCCGACTGTACTTTCATAGGATTTATCGGCAGTAAGGCTGAAGTGGTTGCTTTATTTGAACCTTTTGTCTCCACTGAAGAACACTAAGCGGGGTAAAATACAGTATTAAATATTCGCGTAACTGTTTGTAACATGTAAATTTAATTTCTACCTGTGTATGTGGTTTAAATTGCAGCAGTGTACGGGAACATTGTTTTTTAGAGTTCCAAGCCATGTCACCTCCTCCTGCTTCTTCATTTTTTTCTCTTTCGATACGTCTCTTACGCTTTTTCCTCTGCAATTTCGTGAAATACAAGTAAAAAGTGATTAGAACTCAACTTGATCATGACAACGAAATGTTTCAGTTTATCTGACATCATGTTTTGGTAACGTGTCCAAAACACATCGCCGGAGAAAAAATAACATTTTGATGAATTAACCACCTCATTCGCCGAGGCCCAATTAGCAAAACATCCCCCTAAAAATTTCTAGTTCAGGAAACATATTGAGTTTTTCGTTCCTTCGTCTATAGCAAAGGCAACTATAGCAAAGGCAACTTACTAAAGTCTGTACCATGAGACTTTTGCCTAATTTTCACCGGTATACTATGATAAAATTTATACTAATAAAGCAAGTTAGAAGGAGCCCATAGCCAGAAATACCGAATCGCTCGTGCACAATAGACCACAAGACTTAAAATTTAACGATCTTTTAAACTTGCTGAAGAATAGAAGGATCAGTATGGGATTCGCTTAGAACCTGTTTATAAAATTCGTGTAATGGACGAAACTCCACCATCTCAATGCCAGTTTGAATGATACTCATTAGTACTTTCACTACAGAATTACTTTGTTTTGGTAAATCAAACACTCGTTGCTTTTTTCTCGGTGATTACTTGCAGCGTTTTATTCAGAAGAAATCCCCTTTAAAGCACACGAAATGGCGCCTACCTCTGTAAATGCCGCTACGAACATCTTAACTCAGCCGAAATCCTCTGGGAGTTACTACAACATGGACGACGAGTCAGGGAAGAAGAAAAGATTGAAATACGAGTGGTCAGCGGGAAACAAATTTAATACTTCATATAGAGACATATCAGTTATGTTGCGGAAAGCAATAGTGTTGTAAAGCCGAAATATCAACAGTATACTTCGCTAAATAAAATGTCAAGCAATTTTTCAAAAGTGTTGATGGCACATATATCTTTTACTACTGTAATAAACAATGGAGGCATCGGAAAAGGCATCGGTGGCATCCGGAAAGGCACCAAGAAGAATTATATTTACGTTTTGTAACTTGCTGCGCGACGTGCGTGACGAAAAAAGAAAACCAAAACCGTGGTTCCCAAATGAATTCTCCCACCTTGCCCCAAAAAATTTTTAAATTTTTCGCAACTTCACCTGCTCCTATTCGTAGGTCCAGCCAAGTCTTTATGGTCATTGGCTCCTGTATAGCCGCTAACTATGGCTTAGGTGTTTAGTGTTAACTTGTGAAACTCCCCGAAGAAGTCTAGGGCAGTTAGACGAAACGCGTCGGAGAATAAAGAAGTTTTACAACTACTGTTCGTAGAGTGCTGCTCACCAGATCAGTTTAAAAATTGTTTTTTTTAAATTTGGTGCGATAGATATGGTCAGTTTTTCCATGCAAGTTGTCTGGATATACCTTTCACAGAGACGTGGGGGGACAGAGACACCAACACAACACCTGCCGAACATCAGTGACACACTCGGCTGCGCCTTGTGTGCCACTTTTTTGTTCTTACCACATTTTGACGTCATCTGTGATCTATTACTGAACAGACGCACGGCAACTTGGAATCTATTTGCTAAGCCTTCACTTGGCTGTTTCTCGAAGCTCAGTGTTTTCCTACATGCCTTTTTCACGTGAAATGATGCAATTGAATATGTAAAATAGCGGAGCTCGCAGAGCGTAGCCCCATAATTATAAAAAATGGTAGTAGTAACCCATCAAGCCGAAAAAACTTGGTACAAAGTGCCACTTTTAACATGCGTGATCGACTGTACCGCGGGCGCGCCAACGCCACGGCTATGTCCAGTAGTACAGTGGTCAGTGCACTGGGCTCCGAGTCGGACGACCCGGGTTATAGTCCTGGCTTGTGCAAGGTGTTGTGCCCTTGGGACGTGCGGGAAAAAAAATGCGAGCTCTGCTTTTAGGCTTGGCTAAATCTATATATTAAACTCTAAAAGAACTACAACTGATGGAAATTTGAAATTTCTTATCTAAAGGCTGTGGATACAAACTTATTAATGACTCTAAAAATATAAAAATCTAGGACGGAATTTTTTTTAGAGTTGCTTAGCTTTTCATTTTTCCGGAATCGAAAGTCGATATTGCAAAATTCAAGTGAAAAGCAAACCAACTGTGATTAACGCCTTAAACAAGTCGAGATACTTTTTTTCGTTGTACAACAAGTTACATATCGTAAATATCATTCTTCTTGATGCCTTTCCCGGTGTCATCGATGCCTTTCCCGATGCTTCCGTTGGTTAATATAGCAGTAAAATTATTATTCCAGTCAAAGCGTTTGGAAAATTGCTTAATTTTTTAAGTAGCAACATTTTGGCTTTACAACACGATTGTTTCTTGCAAGTTACAAAACGTAAACATAATTCTTCTTGGCGCCTCTCCGGATGCCACCGATGCCTCCATTGTTTATTACAGCAGTAAAAGATATATGTGCCATCAACACTTTTGAAAAATTGCTTGACATTTTATTTAGCGAAGTCTACTGTTGATATTTCGGCTTCACAACACTGTCGTTTTCCGCAACTATAACTGATATGTCTCTATATGAAGAATTAAATTTGCTTCCCCGTGGGCCACTCGTATTTCGGTCTCTTCTTCTTCCCCCGCTCGTCGCCCGTCATGTAGTAACTCCCAAATCCTCTCCTGGTATCGATCCATCCCAATCAAATTATTTAAGTTCAAAGATGTCATTCCACATTTACGACAAATCGGACTTTGTAAACCCTGAAAATATTGCGCCTTTTTTAGCCTTCTTTCAGCAAATACGAACGCATCCACGAACAGTAATCTTACTTCGATTGCGCGGAAAAAAACAGTATTGAAAGCCTCTCTTGCTCGTACTAAATGCTGTGTTAAGATGATCGCCATTTTAATACCAACAGCTTAATGACAGCTAAGACTGGTAACTACAGGGGGTGATTACGAGGCTGGAGGCTCGGTGCAACAGGCTTTTTCGGAGGAAATTTCAAAAATTTTTATTGGTTTCCGCGGAAAAAAAAAAACAAAACAAGAATGAAATATGTCTGATCGCTACCCGGTCCGTGATCCCCCTCGTATATATTTGCAAACAAAACAACGTGAAGATGGTAATGAAGTTGTGTTCTCGCTGGCAATTAAGAATGCTGCACTGATACAGTGGCACAAATAGAAAAAAAGAAACCCCAAGCATTGCATACATTGACATGTTAAATGGAATCATCCTTGGCCATGCGTTTAAGATCAGTTAAGAGTGATTGAATCGAAGGCCGACTTTCAAAGCACTGTTCTGCGGCTTCAATCACAAATCACATTCTGAACAGAAAAGGAAATTTTAAAAACAGAGAGGGACATGAGGAAAAGTTGTGTAGGCTGACTATTTAGAAAAGTAAAGTGATCTCGGTAGAGAAGTGGGAAGTAGATCTTTGTGCCATTCGGTCAAAACTTGACAAAGAGATCGGTAACTGGAGAGCAGAATATGAAAATCTTGAGGAAGAAAAGGAGAAACTGGCCGAAGGAATGCTTTCAGAGATTGAAAAAGATTATGCCACAGAAAAGGAAAGAACAAGAAAACTGAACAATGAAAATCAACAACTGACTAAGTACATTGACAGGTTACAGAATGAACATTTGGGGATTCAAAGAGGAGCTGGAATTCCAGACCTCAAAACAAACAAAAATTAAAATAACTCAAGACCTCGGCACAGAAGGCACTTAATCTAGTGGATATCATTGGCCTTGGCGTATAGCTTTTGAAACTTAAAGACGCTAACAGTACTGATATTTTTTCTATAGACTTCTCAACTACACATCCTCCCAATCTACAACCAGAACATGGTAGTGTGGCTTCCCCAAAATCAAAACATAAGTAACTTTGTCGTGATGACAAAAACAGAGTGGAGAGCATACTCTTTTTAATGTAAATTTTCACATTTGCATTCAAAGTTGAATGAACAGTTACTGAAGCAGGTGAAATGTATGCGTACAGAGATGTATGTTCACTTACAAAGCAATATGCCTCAACAGATTTGAGTGTACACTAACAAAAATTTATGTACACAGCCAATATAGTTAAAATTTATAGATTTGAATGTACACTTTCAAATATGAAAGTACACTTAAAACGTTTATGTGCCTTTTTAATAAAGAGTTGAATGAACACTTGTAACAAAGTTGTACAATCTAAGAAAGATAAATGCACACCTGAAATTAAATGCTCTTACTGACCACTTACACTTGGCATATCCATCTCAAAATTTGTATAGAATATTTTCCACTGTCTCATGCAAAACTCATTATTTTATTTGATCTGAAAAGAGCAAATTAGGAGAATATTTCTTTTATTCTGAAATCACCTGTATGATTACAGACCAAATTGCACTCTGCTCAATTCCTTGGCCATGAGAATCCACCCAGGAATCTCATCCAAGAGGAAAATAAACAGCATTGAAATCATCTTTTTCAAAAAATGTCCATCTCTCCCCCGACACTCCCTTACCAGCGAACAAGAAACGGAAAACATTCCCGAAAAAACAACCTTGCAGGCAAAAGTGACCGCGATTTCAAGTGCCGTTCGACAGCCACCCTAAAAGAACACACATTTTCTGGAATTATTGCAACGTCCGGGCTTGGCCTGTTGAAAAGTTCCTCGCATCGAGGCAAGATACCCTCCTCTGGCTCCCACGAGGCTTCGTAAGGCAAGTAGCTCTTCCATTGCACCAAGTATTCTACCTAATTAAATGAAAGGCAAAGAAAAGCCTGTGCTGATTTCCACTGAATTCAGTTAAAAATATATAAACACAAGTGATCACGTGCGAAGACAGGCACTACGGCCAAACACTTACCGTTTCATCTGTTTCCCGTCTTTCGACAAGCCTTTCGACTTTCCAATAAGTCGATCTTCTGTTCTAGATTAATTTATTCGGCTGGACAAAGTCGGCATCCGCGGATGAAGTAGCATTTAACATCAAAAAGTACCTGTTCGAAAGATTCTCATTGGACGCCATTTTGGTTTAACTAAAGCGTTGACATTAACAGATGGACCAATCACACGCTAGCTTTCTTGACAGGCTGTCATGTGTGCTGGCGCGTAACAGAAATAAGCACCACCCACTTTGGTTCGGAATTTCTGGCTATGCTACCGATGGCTGTTCTGTACGTGAAAATCGTTTGGAATCCTAAACATGAATGCTAGTGAGAGGCTAACCATAGGTCTGTGATTAAGACTCCTGTTTAGTTTTTGATCAAAACCTTCGGTTCGAAGCAAATATCTTTTGGAATATCGATGATTATCATTTGGAGCTGCCATAAGGACCTTGTTTGAAAAAGTTTCATAAAATTTTAAAGTTTCTCGTCATAGCTAGGGCATCTCTTCTACAAGAACGTAACATAACACCTTATCAGATCACAGCTGAACCTCACCTGCCTTTCGTAGCAACTGACATCATGTTTTGTTAACGTTTCCAAAACACATATCGCAGGAGAAAAAAATAACATTTTGAACAATTAATTAACCACCTCATTCGCATTGCCCAATTAGCAAAACATCCCCCTAAAAATTTTTAGTCCAGGAAACATATTGAGTTTTTCGGTCCTTCGTCTATAGTTAAGGTAATAGTAATGGTTTATGGTTGTGCTACACACAAATTCTTAACGTCTGTACCATGAGACCTTTGACTAATTTTCACCGGTATACTACGATAAAATTTATACCAATATAACAAGTTAGAAGGAGCCTACCGATGGCTGTCCTGTACGTCGAACATAGTTCCGAATTCTATCCTTGAATGTTAGTGTGGAGCTAACTATGGGTCTGTGATTAAAACTCCTGTTTAGTTCTTTATCAAAACCAACGGTCCGAACCAGATTTCCTGTGGAATACCGATAATTATCAGTTTGAGCTGCCATAAGGAACGTTTTTGAAAAATTTCCATAAAATTTGATGTTCCTCGTCATAACTATTGATAGATTGATTGATTGATTGATTGATTGATTGACTGATTGATTGACTAGAACATCTCATGACGTAACACTATATCAGGTAACAGCTGGACAAAAGCTTATAGATAGATAGATAGATAGAAACTTTATTAAAGTGTCAAAAACCGTCTAGCTAGGGAACAAATCCCTTACTAATTTGGGGACACCAATTAGGGGAGAATATACAAACTAAAAAAAAAAACTATATACAGTAGTAGGTAAAATATCTATAGTTAACTCATTAAGAGATTTATAGTAAAAATACACAGAAGTCAAAATGAACAAAGGCTACAGCCTGCGCAGCCATCATCTAAAAGTTCACTTATATTGAGTTGGCGTATCTTGCTTTTAAACGACGTTAGGGTTGTGACGTCCCTGATACTCTTGGGTAGTTTTGTCCATAGCCTAGGCCCTAACTATCTAATAGAGTGCTTGCCATAGGTGACTGTCTCATACCTAGGTATTGAGAAATCTGCTTGCCGCAGATTGTAATTACTATTTGGTTCTTTAAAGATGTTACTTATATATGCAGGGCACAGTTTATGCTTTACTTTATACATAAGGATGCACAGATCCTGTAAGCGACTATTTAGTAGTGTTGGCAGATCTGCCTTCTCTAATAGTTGTTCATAACTAGAATTATTATCCTTGAAAACCGCTCTAAGTCCTCTTTCTTGTAGTCTTTCAAGCTTTCGAGTGTCACTCGCTTTACAAAAATGCCACACTAGGTGACAGTACGTGAGGAATGGTAATATCGCGCTTTTGAATAATATTAACTTAGATTTCATAGGAATTAAATTACGTAGTCTCATTAGAACACCAATTCTCTGGCTGGCTTTTTACAGATAGAGATTACATGCTCAGAGAAATTTAGCTTAGAATCTAACACTACTCCTAGAAGTATGATATTATCTTTAGTTTCAATCACAACATCATTCACGCAAATATTGCTGTCATTTTGAGTGAAGCCCAAGTTCAAAACTTGGTACTTTTTGAGGTTTCCCGCCAATAAGTTAGAATCGTACCACGTTGTTGCTGAGTTGGCACTATCCTTTAACTGGGAAGTCACAGCTGCCTGGTCTGCTCCTGCGTGGTAAATTTGATGGTCGTCGGCATACATAGACAAGTTCGCTGTTAGGCAGTAGGATAGGTCATTCTGGAAAACATTCCATAACAACGGGCCAAGCGCGGAACCCTGAGGACAGCCACGACTCACGAATCGGCTCGAACTAACATGACGGCCGATCTTTACTTGATATTTCCGTTCATTTAAATAGCTGTTTAAAAGTTGAATATGCCTTTTATATGCTTATGCCTTTTATGGCCAAATATTAAGGCTATCTTTTGTGTGATCTTATTTTCATAGCTTTGAATAATCTGAGAATAATGATAGCTGAAAGTAAAACTGAGAAAAAAAGCAGGCGTTTTGCTGCAGCCTGTGACTTCTTGCCGACTAAGACCTACGGCTTTCGTTCCCACTCACTGGAGCAGATTTTTCGTTCTTCGACTTAAGGCGCGTTCCTGAACTAAGTTAGGAACCCTTCTTCCTTTATTGAGGCGTAAAATGTCTTAACATGCCTAGAACTGACGGGGGGTGAACGCCTGCCTTAAAGCGAATCATTCTAATTTACATATATTCTTGCTTTGCTGCAAAACACTTTGAGGTTTTTTGGCACAGTTCGGCTCTCGAGGATCCCTCGTGTATCATAATGGAGGTTAAGTACATAACAAACCGAGTTGCAGGAGGAATTGTAGCCTTACAGAGAAGGATGAAGGGTGACGTCAAGGAAATGTGTGAAAGGATTTTAATGCCGCTTATTAAAGAATTCGGGAAAAAAAATTTCCCAGAAGAATTACTTGAGAGACTGAGAGGATATTTTAGAGCCATCTACTGGAGTTTAAAAGTGCACTCGCTGATTCATTTAAGAATTTCTGATCACCTTAAAGAGATCACTGAAGTCGTCAATGAGGTGGGTGCTCGGGGCGGCCTGACAAATGAAGAGATGGATAAACTACCAGACCAAGATCACGTAGTCGACCCAGGAAGCAAACTCGTGGAAATGGTAAGTACATAAGCGGTATATGTGTGTGTTTTGTTTCCGAGTTTTCATGCATTGTCATCTGCAGGTAAGTACTAGAACAAGGAACGACCTAAAACCCCCTAAAACCCCTTAAAACCACCTACGATTTCTACCCCCCCCCCCCTAAGATTTCAGGGAGAGGTAGAGGTTTCGTTCGATTCTCGTTTTTCGTGTACGTGACATGTTGTCGTTTCGCCTTATTTAAGACATTTATGCCTTGTTTTGGATGGTTTTAGATAGTTTGCGAGTGGTTGTAGATGTTTTTGAGGTGGTTGTAGGTGGTTGTTGAAATTTTTGAGGTGGTTGTAGATGGTTGTAGGTGGTTGTAGGTGGTTTTAGGTGGTTTTAGGTGGTTTTAGGTCGTTCCTTGTTTTAGTACTTACCGTCATTTGCACCGAGTCAGGCTGTAACATGCCTTGGCTGGCTGTTTATCTAACCTCGCTGTAGCAGACACCAAAGGTAATGGTTTGCAGGAATGTTATGGAAAGGAAAAACCGGACTACGAACTGAATTATAGAATTCAGTATGAGTTGCCGCTCAAGATTGCCTTTTTAATTAGAGTAAAAAAAACTCGGAACTATTTCCACTGTTCTTGAGCGGAATTTCGCTGAAAATTGTGACCCTCTTCTAGTAATATCTACCGTGTTTCTTCATCTATAAGCCGAGACCCTAATAGTTAGAGACCTTCCAACAGACTCGTGTTATCCAAAAGAAAAAGCAAAACCATCGGCTATAAGCCGAGAGCGAAATTCTTGATTATAACCGGCCATTTGAGTGAGCGAACCTCACGGAAAAAATTGGGAAATGGCACAATGAACACAAAAGCTAAAAAAACACAAAAGAAAAAAAACGAAGAGGTGAAGATGTAAATACTAATACGCGACTGCAGAAACACAACAGCTACTGTAACCAGACAAACGTTTCAATCGAGTATCTCTTTCGTCACTGTTATTTTTCTCATCATGCCAAAAGCACGCCGCTCTTCGCATACTATGGCTTTCAGGATAAAAGTTATCGCGGAGGCTGAAGCTGTAGAAAACAGCTTGCAAAATGGGCCGTTTCACTCCTAAGTGTCCCGAACTAGACGAGCAAGCGATGGGGTAGTTTTCACAGCAGAGAGACCAAATATTTCATATTATTTGTGGGCGCACTGCTTGAAAATAGACATGACCTATAAGTTCCAATTTTCTTTTCAGTTTCAACAGTATTATTCCAGATCTTTCAGAGGGACGTGGTAATATATTGTATGTTTGATCACATTCAACTGGTATATCACAGATTGCACCTTTAATCTTTCTTTGTTGACCTTTGGGCATGACTTGATTTTCAAACACTATTCTCTGTGGTGTATCTGTTCAAGCTTCTCTAGAATGGACAACTCTGGTGGCAGTTCATCAACATGTAATTTGTTACATACAGCTTGACATGGGACTTGCCCTTTCAAAACTTTTGTGTGACAGGTTTTACAAATGTACTGATTTTCATCAAATGACTTAATGTCAGTAATTAGTGCTTGCTGAGTGTTTTACATTTGTTTTTTTGACTGGATAACAGTTTTTCTGTATAGTGTTCTATTACAAACAGAGCAAATGTAATATGGACCTTCCCTAATCTTAGTTTGAAAATGTGTGATCTTATGATCTAAATCATGTTGAACTGAGTTTCTATAGGCTTCTTTATTAGCTTGGACTTTTGATATAATCTTATCTTTGTCTGCAGGATCCAGTGTTTTATACCATTCTGCTCTGCCAGACAAAAGTTCTTCTTTTTCTTCAGGATTCAATGACTTATACCATTCTGCTCTTTTTTGTTTTTAAGCAGAATCAAGCAAGTTAGACCATTCTGCTCTCTTTTGCTTTTGTGCTGTATCCAGTGATTTATACCAATGCTATGCTAGACAAAAGATTTTGTTTTTTCCGCTGACCCAAGTGATTTCTACCACTCTGCTGATTTGAACAAAAGCTTTTCTTTTCCTTTAGGATCCAGTGATTTATACCATTCAGCTCTGTGAGATAAAAGCTTTTCTTTTTCTGCAGGATCCCCTGACTTGTACCATATTGCCTTAGCAGACAAAACTTTTTTTTCATGGCAGGTTCCATTTGTGCATAGCTTTCTTTTTTCCTTTTTGCATGTAGTTCTTTCTGACTATGAGACTTATGTTTTGCCATTCAACAAATTGGTTGAACAACATATACATTTAATACAATATTTAATACAATAGTTTTTTTACAATATCCCCTAATAACTGAATAAGAATATCTATGTCATTCATTTTGTGTGCCATTAGGACTGACTTTTTCTTTGTAAAACTTGTTTGCATGGTCACTGATTCTATCTAGAGTCTGTGAATTCCAATACCCACAATATTTAATAATGGAAAAGCAAATGCTATGAAAAGATGTGGCACAACAGGGAATATGAATGGTTGTAATTTCAGCATCTACATGATTTGCTTCGAGGGGGACAGCTGACAACTGTTGATCAGAAATATCTGTCATATCACATTGTTTTTCATTAATATGTACTCCTTTGAGTTCAAATAAAACATTTGGATTTTGATAAAGACCTTGAAAATAGTTTATCAGCTCATTTAAGGTGTTAACTTCTGACATTTACACAAGTTCCTTCAGGATGGGGAGTACCATATGAATCTCTACCATGAGAATCAAATATCTTAAACTTACCATCACAATTACAGTAAAACACCTTCTGTAGTACCAAGGATTGTTAAAAAAAAGGAATTATAATTTCATCCTAGCAAAGCCTGCATAGCATTAGCAAATTACATGCAATAATTGAAATCTTGTACTTCACAAGTACCATGTATAGTACCAGTATAGCTTGGACTATATTGAAGCTGATAATTAATATCAAACACTATTGTCATTTCAGGTACTTCTGTTAACAGTAACTAGGATTGCCTGGATAGACTAGATAGACCAGAATACAATTCATTATCAATGTTCATGATATTTACTAAGTCCATTGAGAATACAATACCATCCCCCTTATACACTGTGTACCAGCATTTAACCCAAACCTTGCCACATTGTCTTGACTGAAAGGATCTTGAATTGTTTTAGTAGAATTATTGACAGGACCAGGGTTTGTCTCTATATCCCCAGACAGCTTGGACTTAAAGTGATTTACCCTGTGATTCACCCTGTGATTCAGATTTTTATATACATTTGGTACTGAATTAGACCTCCATACACTCGACTGCTTTGGCTTTGGACTTTTTATTACTTGTGGATATTGGTTCTGCATTTTCAGTATCCTGTATTTGTTAGACTTTCGATATTTTCTCCTAACTGCAGAGGGGGATATTTCGTTGTTCCTTAATTCTCACATCTGATTCCATATGCATATATTTTTTCATGAGCTTTATTTGTAAGAAGGGGCATTCGGAAAGACTTGAAATCGGTATGCTTTTTCTGATGTAGGTTCAAAGTAAACGTCTTACCTTCCAGGATTTCTTCAAAATATGAGAAATTCTTTTCTATGGTATTTTGCTGGGCTCACGATCACAAACACGAATACCATATGTACGAGGGCAATTAAAATAAACAAATTTGTCGTATCGAGATCGACAGTTACAGACTGTATTTATTAAAAATGCTTCATCATTGCTATCATTAAGCTTATTATCATATACAATTACGGATAACTGAGCAGTTTTCTTAAAGACGTTACATTCATCGAAGCTATTCACGGCAGCTTTTGTTGGAGAC